ATGAGAGAGAGCTGGAGGGAGCGAATAAGAAAGGGAAAAGAGAGGGAAACAAATGAGAGAGAGAAGGGGAGGGAGAGAGAGACTCATTTCCCACAGAAAACACCGGGAGCCACAAAACCTGGGAAGGCATGGCTTATTGGGTCATGTGACTGGGTGGGAGTGACGAGTTGGCCACGCCCATCCAGGTTTTGTGACTCCTGGTGTTTTCTTTTCTGTGGGAAACAGGTCCAAATGGCTCTTTTGAGTGTTTTTAAGGTTGCAGAACCTCTGTACCTACAAAGCACAGCCGAGGTATATTTCCACAAGCCGTCAGACTTTGCCGAAGGAGCCATTTTGCCCCCGTATTGCAAAGCTACCTTTTGCAATAAACGCAAGTTTGATCTTGTGGTGATTTGCTGACCCCACAGTTGGGAGGTCTAGTTTGATGCTGTGCAGGAGCCCGCTTTCTCGGAATGGATAGCAAGTTTAAGCGCATCCAGCTAAGCTGGTTGGTTTCTCCTGGCGCTCCAGAGCGGAGGAGAAAACAGCCCGCTCTGGAAGGCAATGGACGATGGGATCTTCCGTGAAGGTCACCAAGCACGAGACCTGAACCACCTCGTCCCTCCTGAAGGGTGAGATGCCAGGAATCAGCAGGAAGCAAGACGGCTTCCCACGGGGCGGGGGACGGAGTACGGAGAGGAAGCAACGTTTGACAAAGCCAGTCCTTTGATCCTTGCCTCGGGAGCCCATGTCCTGTGCCCTTAAAAGGGAAGAGGCCACCGAGAGCCCTCCTTTCCCATGACACGACGAGCCGTTTTCCTCCTCCTCCGGGCCGATCTCGCCGAGTCAGCAATATCTTAAGTCTGCGTCTGAGCTGAAAGGAGCAAGAGTTGCATTTTGGGCCAGTCAGAACCCGGGGCAAAAACGGGGCATTTAGGTGATCTGGGTGGAAGAGTTTTTGTCTTGTGGGGGGAGTGTTAAGATTTATAAATAGGGCTTCCTGCTCTCGACCCCGAAGCCATTTTGGAGCATCTTCAGGGCTGCCACGGCAAGGCTGGTTGGAGCTGTGGGAATAGAAGTGGGGGGTGGGGGGGAATAGAAATAGCTGGGGACTTGTAGCCAAAATAAAATTCTGTCTCCTGGGAACCAAGGACAATTTCACCAGGTGCTGGGGAGGCGTGGACTGGAACCAACTGGGGTTGGGGCTGTAACCGGATTGGATCATGTGATGGACATGCGGACTGTGGGGGAAAGAACTTTGACTTTTAATTTGGGTGGGGAAAACCGTGGGACTTTCAGAGTCGGGTTTTCACCAGATGTGCCAATATGACATGCCTAATAAATCTGTATTTATTGTATGTATTCTACAAGGGACACGGTGGCTAGGATGCTGAGCTTGTTGATCAGAAGGTCGGCAGTTCAGCGGTTCGAATCCCTAGCGCCGCGTAACGGGGTGAGCTCCCGTTACTTGTCCCAGCTTCTGCCAACCTAGCAGTTCGAAAGCACGTAAAAAAAAAAATGCAAGTAGACAAATAGGGACCACCTTTGGTGGGAAGGTAACAGTGTTCCGTGTGCCTTTGGCGTTGAGTCATGCTGGCCACATGACCACGGAGACGTCATCAGACAGCGCTGGCTCTTCGGCTTTGAAACGGAGATGAGCACCGCCCCCTAGAGTCAGGAACAACTAGCACATATGTGCGAAGGGAACCTTTACCTTTAATAAATCTGTACTCAGAGGTTCCGAGATTTGATTGTCCTTCAGTTGAGGTCCAAGCTGGTCCCTAGCATTGAAAAAAAAAATGTTAATTTGTTTAGCACTTTGACGTAATTTGGGGGCACTTGTACATGATGGCCTTTAATGTACCCTTAGCTCCGGTTCTCAAAGTCTCCTGCCCACTTCAGCAACAGAGCGGGGCTGTGGGAGTGAGTCATGTACCCAGCCTGACCTGGTGGCTGGAGTCGAGCGCTCAACTTATGCGCACAGGATATCCTCACACTTTTGGGGACTTTGCTGGTCTCATATCCTGATTTCCACTTTGCATGCGGATCGGGAACAAAGATGCCAGGCTGCACACACACACACACACACACACACACACACACACACACACACAGCTGCTCCTCCCCCCAAACCTCCTACCAACAGCTGTCTCAGGCAGAACTCGAGCAGATGAAGTTGCATTTCATGGTGGCTTCTGCATCCTTGTGGGTAAAGAGTAGAGAGACATCAATGAGTCCTTCGGGAGTAGGGCGGTATAGAAATTGAATAAATCATCATCATCATCATCATCATCATCATCATCATCATCATCCTGTCTCAAAGGTGCTTTTTTTCAAGAGGCAACTAGACTTTCTGGTTTTTCTTTGAAGGCATTTTGCTTCTCGTCCAAGAAGCTTCTTCAGAGCTGAAGAAGCTTCTTGGACGAGAAGCAAAACGCCTTCAAAGAAAAACCAGAAAGTCCAGTTGCCTCGTGGGGGAAAAAAAAGCATCTTTGGGACAACCATGATCTGGAGGACCTCCATCATCTTGATTTCTCTTAGGTTTTCTGCATAGCATTCAAAGCACCAATGTTTGGCCAAACTTCAGCTGTCTTAGATATGGCCCGTAACGCAAGATTGAGGGAATGGGTCAACAGTCTCTTGCAGCAATGAAGTTAAAGTAGGTGAGGCCATCTCATGAACATGGGCTGAACTGGAGTTTAACCTGAAAAGGGGTGGGGATTTTTTTCTGTATTTTGTTTAAAGTTTCATGGATTACACCGTAAAATTTTCCACCTGCTTCCTCCTTCAAAATTGCAGGAAACTCTCCTAGTTTTTAACCGTTTACAATTGTGGGGAAAGGCAGTGAGAACTCAGTTCCCCATATTTTGATATCTGGGGTGGGGGGAAGAAAAGGATTGGATTGGGTTTTGTGGGTTTTTTTTTTGTTGTTGTTGTTTTTTGTTTTTGTATTTTGGTGTGTATATCCAAGGACTATTTATGCCCCATCATACAAAGGAGTCCATCTCTCTTTTCATAGCTGAAGAAGCTCTGCTGAGGTTGTGGAAGGCTGTTTTGAGATTCTTATTACAGACTTGATGTATCTTCTTCTTATCTTATCTTTTTTATTTTATTATTATTTTACATATATAAAAAAGGATGTATGTATGTTTGTTCCAGCATAACTCTGGAACGCCTCGAGCAATTCCAACCAAACTTGGTACATAGATGATATACCCTCTGGAAAAAAATACTGTGGGGGTAAGACACCCCTAACACCCCTCGGAGTGTTGTGTGTGTGGGTGTCCTGGCACACAGGTGGCACACATACCCCAGCTCAGCTCAACTGCGCATGTGCACACGCCTCCCGCCAGCCACCTGATATTCTGGTCTCTACACGCGGGGGCAGGGGGAGCGCAGGTGTGTGTGGTGCTAGCCCCCTTGTGGCCTGTTTTGGCTGCAGGGAGGAGTACTAGGCCAAAAACGGGGCCTGGGGGTGGTGCAGCCCTCCTGCAGTCTGTTTTGGCTCACACGAGGCTGCAGGGAGGCCTAGGCCCAAAATGGACCTCGGGGGGGGGGGGGGGCAAGGACCCGGGGGGGGGGGGGGGGGATTAGGATGAAAAAATACCCAGGCAGCGCCAGGTCATCAGCTACTATTTTAAAAAAGGCACCTCTGGGCGATCAAAAGTAGAAGTCCATCATTCACCTCTCAGATGTCTTCCAAGAGAATCTTGGAGGGAGATGGCGATTAAGAAATATGAAGTATAAATAAATAAACCTTCATAGAAGGATGCCCCAATCAATGTATCAACTAATATTTTGCAAAAAATATTATTTTATAAAAACATTATAAAAAAACAAATATTTATGGGAGAACCAATGATAAGTATTTATATTTCTGATTAAAATCATGTTTCTGAAAAAGAGAACATCTTCAGTATTTACTCAGCCATGTGGCTAGGGAGAATACAGGTAGTCCTCAAATTACAACAGTTTAGTGACCATTTCAACGACACTGAAAAATGTGACTTGTGACCGTTTTTCACACTTATGACCTTTCCAGCATTCCCAATGATCATGTGATCAGTTGCTTGGCAACTGGTTCATATTTATGACCGTCGCTGGGTCACGTGATCCCCTTTTGCGACCTTCTGACAAGCAAAGTCAATGGGGAAGCGAGATCCATTTAACAACTGGATTATTAAGTTATCAGCTGCAGTGATTCACTTAACAACTGTGGCAAGAAAAGTTATAAATGGGGCAAAACTCACTTAGCAAATGTCTGACTTAACAGCAGAAAGTTTGAGCTCAATTGTGGTCATACGTCAAGGACTATCTGTTGTGTGTAAAAAATAGAAATTTTTTGATCTTCGTGCCAAGAAAGCACGGTTGTAAGTGGAAGAACACAATGTAATAAAAGTTGCTAAATAAAATGCGGTCTCCAACGCAGAAAACCCTTTTCATATCCAGCTTAGCTTCCGTTTATTGTTCCTCCGCTTGACAGTTCAACTAATGCTTTACAGGAATTTCCTCAAGTCGGTTTTTCTCTCTCTCTTCTCTGCCTCTTCCTATTTTTATTTTTTTTTAATAGATGTCGCGGAGAAGGACCCAGATGGCGATTGCAGACATTTAGCGCTGCAGAATCTGCTACTGATGGAAAACCTGAAAAAAAAGCTTGAAGGAGCTCCCTAAAAAGCTGATGGATGCAAATGTCCCCAGGTTTTTAGGAGAACGGGACAAAGGGCCTCGAGCTGGAAAGGCAGAGACATCTGGGCTTAGCGTGGCACTTACAACTGACGGATGCTGTTACTAACCGACATGTAAATTTAGTCCTAGTTATTTATGGTCTTGGCCAAATTTACTGAAAGTCAAAAGCAAAGTTTTAGAACTGCCGAACATTTTCACAGAGGAAAACAAAACACGTTTGCTTCCGAGTAGGAATTGATGATGCCTGCCTTGGGTGTTGACGTAGCGGGAGCTGGACAGTGTATTTCCCAAGCCAAAAAAAGGGGAAAAGTTTATTAAAAGCCATTCTGAGCTGGGACAGGCTGTTTTTTCTAAAGGGCCCGTTCTGTACAAAGGGTTCTGCGGCCAAAGAAAGTGGATCCTCTTGACAAATTCAGCCTTCTTAACGGGAAAAGCCTTTTAGGACATGCATTCAATTTTGCAGCTACTCAGATTGTTGGCTGAGCAGGTACAAAAATAGCCAGGGAAATGATTGAAGCCTGCGAAATGGTCCTCTTTGTCAGTCAACAGGAGTGCTGATTTACCACCGGCTTATGTAGGAGCCAGTAGGGACGCGGTGGCTCAGTGGCTAAGATGCTGAGCTTATGGATCGAATGTTTGGTAGTTCAAATCCCTAGTGCCGCATAATGGGGTGAGCTCCCATTACTTGTCCCAGCTTCTGCCAACCTAGCAGTTCAAAAGCACGTAAAAAACAATGCAAGTAGAAAAATAGGGACCACTTTTGATGGAAAGGGAACAGCATTCCGTGTGCCTTCGGCGTTGAGTCATGCTGGCCACATGACCATGGAGACATCTTCGGACAGCGCTGGCTCTTCGGCTTTGAAACAGAGATGAGCACCGCCCCCTAGAGTCGGGAACGACTAGCACGTAAGTGCGAGGGGAACCTTTATCTTTACCTATGTAGTAACCAAGGACTTGGCAGCACAAGGAAACAAGAGCCAATAGCCGGCTATTGACACCCCAATCAACCAATAAGAAACCACATGTAACCAGGTACCACATAAATACTACACATAGAATAGCCCAAAGCACACATTCCGGTAGAGAGAAGTTCCCCGAGGATGAGCTCCAAGCATGAGTCCAAAAACTCAGAAGACTAAATCTCTGATCCCAGTGGATCGACCTAGACTGGAGCCTTTTAAGATTGCCTGGAATTAACTTTATGCCTGCCATTTTGTATTACTCTTCTGGCCATTCCCAACCTCTTGTTCTTCAGATTTAAGGCCACACAAAAAGACACAAGTGAGTTGTGTATCTAAAATATTTAATACGAATATGAAGAAGATACCTTCGAAACCGTGTCGGAATATTTTAAAAGGGATGTAAAAACCTGTGGAATGCCGAACACCTCCCAGATTCCAAGGATCGACTGGATCACAAAGATTACAGAGCAAGGCTGATGAGTCCATTTGTCTTTCTCCTCACCATACCCGAAATGCGGGCGCTGTGCCTCCAAAGTCCTCGCAGAGCCGTTCAGGAGGGCTCTGCCTCATCGGCCACTTCTTCGATCTCCTTGTCCTCCACGCTGTTGTGGCGAACTCTCTCCGAAGCGGTGTTTCGGCCGAGCGGGATGCCCAGCCCTCGGTGCACTGCCTCGACCGTCTGCTGGTTCACGTAGTAGTTGAGATTCACGCAGGGGATTTTCTTCCGCATTTCCTCCAGGTACCGATAGGCCTGATGAAAAAAGAAGGGATGGCGTTCACAGGTGGTTTTACGATCTGAGCCCAACCCAGGAAACTTAAGTGGCTGGAGATGCCTCGGCCAACTTATTATTATTATCTCTTTTATTCATTAAACATAAACACAGTCAACTAAACATTTAAAAATGTGTCACAAATACGATTGTCTGGTGCTAATGGTTGATACGGGTTGCTGCCAGCATCCTTGGTATCAACCATTTATTATTATTATTTACTTTATTCATTAAACATGAAACTCAAGTCAACTGAACATTCAAAAATGCATCACAAATACCATTGACTGGTGCTAATGGTTGATACGGGTTGCTGCCAGCATCCTAGGTATCAACCAAGTACTTTCTTAAAATATACGATGTTCCGAGTAGTGCAGTTTTTTGCAGTTCCGCTGGTGTTATTGCAGGAAGCTGCAATTTCTTTATGTGTTTTGTAAAATTCTTGGACATGGTACCAAGGGCCTCGATGACAATGGGTCTCACTCTCGACAACCGACTTTAGGGTTAGGGTTGTTGTTGTTGTTATTATTATTATCATTATTATTATTATTATTACTTATTATTAATACAGTGGCCCCCAACCTTTTGGACACCAGGGACTGGTTCCATGGAGAAAGTTTTTTCTGTGGACTGGAGGGGGTGTGGTTTTGCATAACTGCCTCCATCCCATGGATGGGACTTCACTTATTTGTATGGACCGGTTACTGGCATGCCATGGTTGGGGACCCCTGGATTAATATAGGTGGTCCTCAATTTACAACCATTTGTTGAGTGACCGAAGTTACAACGGCACTGAAAATAGTGACTTATGACTGTCACACTTATGACCGTTGCAGCATCCCCAGGATCACGTGATCAAAATTTGGAATGCGTGGCAACTGGTTCATATTTATGACGGTTGCAGTGTCCTGGAGTCACGCCATTCCCCTTTGCTGACCTTCTGACAAGCAAAGTCCATGGGGAAGCCAAATTCTTTTCACAGCTGTGTTGTTAACTTAACAACTGCAGTGATCTGCATAACGGCTGCAGCAAGAGAGGTCATAAAATGGGACAAAATTTCACTTAACCACTATCTTGCCTAGCAACAGAAATTTGGGGCTCAATTGTGGTCGTACATTGAGGACCACCTGTAGTGTGTTTAGCTGAGATTTCTCTTGTCAACAACGCAGCTGTTCTTTTTCACAAAGAGACATTGAGTTAAGCCATGGTTTGTAGAGCAATCGGCAATCGCCTGGCTTCACACAACAGGCGAATAATGCATACATCGGTTTCCAACGCAACCTATGGAATTGGGGGTGTTTTTTTTTTTAAGTTAAACATTCATGTTCATTTACAATTCGCACAAGCCCAATTGAGCAATTTCTTCACAATCTATAAGCCTTTGTCATGAAGGCCTACACAAAAACAATCATAAAAGCATTTGTGTAACCTTAATCCATAATCCCAAGAAATTAAAAGACGCTTGCTCCTGGGGAGGAAAGCTATGGCAAATCTAGACAGCATACTAAAAAGCAGAGACATCACCCTGCCAACAAAAGTGCGCATAGTCAAGGCGATGGTTTTCCCACTTGCAATGGATGGCTGTGAAATTTGACCATAAGGAAGGCTGAGCGCCAAAGAATGGAGGCCTTTGAACTCTGGTGCTGGAGAAGATTCCTGTGAGTCCCATGGACTGCAAGACGATCAAACCGGTCAGTCCTAGAGGAGATCAATCCTGACTGCTCTTCAGAAGGCCGGATCCTGAAGATGAAACTCAAATCCTTTGGCCACCTAATGAGAAGGAAGGACTCCCTGGAGAAGAGCCTAATGCTGGGAACGATGGAGGGCAAAAGAAGAAGGGGACGGCAGAGAATGAGGTGGCTGGATGGAGTCACTGAAGCAGTCGGCGTGAGCTTCAATGGACTCCAGAGGATGGTAGAGGACAGGAAGGCCTGGAGGAACGTTGTCCATGGGGGTCGCGATGGGTCGGACACGACTTCGCAACTAACAACCACAACAAGAATCCATAATCCAGGATAGCCATGGGAATGGGAAAGAGGTGGCATTCATTGTAATAGTTTTTCTACAAACTCTTCCTACAGATAGCAAACAAAACAAAAGAAAACACATAGCTGTACGCTGAATATGCTGCATATTTTAACGCTGCCTCTTCTTCGCTCAAACACTAGAGAGCACCTGGGGGGGTTGAGACGAGCAGTTCCTTTTGGCCTGTAAATTCTGGCTTCCCTGTTTGAAAGTGGGCCATGTGGGCGCTTCCTGCTGGAAGCGTGTGAATCATCTCTTCTCCAGATGGCCCTACATAATTGCTTCCTCCGACTTCCTCTCTCCCAATCCATCCAGGTGGAGAGAAAGAGGTACCAGAATACTGTCGAATGGTAACACAGCAAGGCCCGGGTGACTGTGTTTATACATCGTCCCCAGGTCCTGTCGCCAACGACGGACAGTTATTCAGGATGGATAAGAGAGTCACCTGGGGATTCAGAAATTTTAAAAAATCTAAAAAAAGGCAAATAGGAGATCTTTTGAATGCTATCTGAAATCTCCCTACTTTTTACATAGAGAAAATTAGAAGTACAGGTTGCTTAGCAACCGAAGTTACAATGGACCTTGAGAAAGTGACTTATGATCCAGATTTAAACTTCTGCTGTCTATCACTCTACATCACATGACACTGAATTTTTGAGTGTTCAGCAACTGGTCCACCTTAATAGCCCTTTGCAGCACCCCGTAGTCACACAACTGATTTACAATGTTTGTTTGTTTTTTACTTATGCTAAAAACGCTCCATAGCGAACAAGGGGCTCACTTAACGACAGCTATAAAAATCATAAAATTGGGTCTGCTTTATGACTCTCACAACTTAACAAAAAGGATGGGCTCAATTACAGTCCCAATTCAAGGGATGCCTATAATGGCAGTATATACTTTTCGACCACTCAAAATTTCAAGCGAATCATTAAAATTAGAAGAGCTGAGGTGGCGCAGTGGTTAGAGTGCAGTACTGCAGGCTACTTCAGCTGACTGCTAGCTGCAGTTCGGCAGTTCAAATCTCACCGGCTCAAGGTTGACTCAGCCTCCCATCCTTCCGAGGTGCGTAAAATGAGGACCCAGATTGTTGGCGGCAAGAGGGTGACTCTAAACCACTTAGAGAGGGCTGCAAAGCACTGTGAAACGGTATATAAGTCTAAGTGCTATTGCTAAAATGTACTGCCTGAACCAATGCCAGGCATAAACAGTAAAATGAATAATATTTTAGGGATATTTAACAGTTTTTAACATGGAGAAGCATTTAATTACGAAGTCGTCCTGCCAGTATCTGCAGCCGTACAGTTCCACAGCAATGAACAGGGCTGTGGGTGCTGCTGAATAAGAATTATTTAAGTGGCTTGTGGGCCCTGGAAACACTCACCATCTGGAATTCTTGCATCTGCAAATGATGATCCACCAAGAATCCCAGAACGTCCCCCAGGCGGATTGTGGTATCAAGATCAGGTTCTCCCAGGAGCAGTTCACACTGTCTGATGGCCTCTTTGGGGTCCTCGGAGTAAAGCCTTAGGAGGGGGGAAAAAAATACACCAGCAACAAAGATGATTTAGGGGACTG